AGAAAGAAAGAAAGAAAGAAAGAAAGAAAGAAAGAAAGAAAGAAAGAAAGAAAGAAAGAACCCTATGTATTCTGCTGCTGCTGTCTGATGCTTATTATTGTTAGAGTTACTGAGGTAAAAATAAATCAAGGGCAATTATTTTTTACATTACTAACATATTATTCCTTTTTTTAGCTGTAAAATGGGGATGGGATCAATAGCTAAACAGGAGAAAGAGAGCACCAGAAACCAGACAATTATTTTGGTTGTTCCATTGTGCAATTGGGAGTAATATTCATTTAATTGTCCACTAGGCAGTATTTCACAAAATTTCATCCAACTATTTTCACTCCTACTGCAGTGAAAGAATGCCTCTCAGAATGCTTGCAATTGTTAAATAAACTTTGAAATATCCCACAGGTTACACAATCTATTGACTGCAAAGGCAACAAATCCTCATTTCAAGAAAGTTGGTTGTAATGATTCGTATAATATTTTTCATTTCAGTGCCTCTGAAAAATAAACTATAATTCACATTATGACATGGTATAAGTGTTCAAAAAAGATCCTGGGTGAAGATGATTGTTTTTAATTTTTGCAAATAAAGGCTTCTGATAGCCTTAGGCTCTTGGGTCTTGGAAAGATTAATGAAGAAACTGTGGAATGTATAAATAAAAATTGGGAATTTGTAATGCTAGTGACTGTGTTTAGAGATATTGCATTTTTATGTTAAATTTATACAGACTTATAAACTCAGAAGTGTTCTCTCCTGTCTTCATTATATTAGTTTTGTATGTAAGAGTACTTTATTTTACATTTGAAAATTTAGTCGAATATATTTTGGTACAAATAAAGAAATCTAGAAGTAATGGGATTAGTGAAGCTATTGGTTATCATGGTGGGACCACTTTTATCTTTGTAGTTTGATAGGTCTGGTGAGCAGAAGGGAGTGCCTTTCCCTTATTAACTCATTGCTTCTCTTTGCTGTTGATTGGGGTATAAGCACATCCATCAAGTGCTCACATGTTCATTCATGGCAACTCAGAGCAATTGAGATGATGCAACAAAGGTATAAAAGCTACTCTTATTTCTGGATCTAGATGTCGAGCTGGTTAGCTGAAAAGCTGACAGCCCAGGTTTGAGTCCTGACCTCTGTGTGATGGAGTGAGCTCCTGTTACTTGCTGTAGCTCCTGCCCACCTAGCAGTTCAAATGCATACAGATGTAAATAGATAGATAGGTACCACTTTGTTCGCAAGGCAACAGTGTTCTGTGTGCCTCGGCATATGCTCCTGTGGCCACATGACCACAGAAATGTTTTCAGACAATGCTGGATGCCTCCTTGGCTAAGAAACAGAGATAAGCTCTTCCCCCTAGAGTCAGCCATGACTGGACAGGGAATTCCTTAGCTTTACCTTTTATTTAGTAAAGAAATCACAATATCAATGATCAATTGATTTTAATGTCACATCTATTTTTGCACTTATTTGTGAGGAATTCAAGTTTCAGTGAATAGATTTTTAGCTATCCTCATATTTACTGGACTGTATTTAAGTTTTTTTCAGAATAGTCTGTGAATTTACAATCTTTCTGGTAGAGTTGATTACTGCTTCCTTCTTTATTTTACTCTGTTTTTACTACTTCAACAACATTAGTTTAATATACAAAGAATGGATATCAAGAGCAACCTTAAATCATGTTTTAAAGCTACAATTCTGGTATAAGGCTTTCTTTCAATTTAAAACAGCATACTGATTATAATCTAAACATTGGTTTTGATTTATAGTTTATACAATTGATTCTAAGTTAAGCTCTGAAAATTCTTAACATAAACATGAAGCAAAGATCCCATGCCAATTAACAAGAAGAATAAGTGGGTCAACACAGACCATCTAAATTAAGTATGCTGTCTGATCTTTAATGACACCAGTAATCATTCATTTTGTGAAAATTGAACTAACAACAGGGCATGGTGTCAGCATGTACGGCATAAAGATTAATGAGCTCATTCACCTTCTGGACTGCTATATTACCATTAAATTGATTAGTAGAATGGTCCATGTATTGAAATCACAAACAATCTGATGGATTTATCTGAACTTTTGATTAGATTGTTCTATGATGAACAGCGCACTTTCGGCTTCTCATTGTTACTTTTGAATNCCCTGAGTCCCTTCGGGGAATAGGGCGGCCTACAAATTGAATAAAATCCAAAATCTAAATCCATTGACATTTCTATTGTTTTATTATTGATAATGATTAGTGTATGTGTTTGTGTGTATCTGTATTGCACTTAGATTTAAGTGCACACTAAAGTTACTATTAAAAGAAAAAACATTTTCAGTCTTAGCATCATGAGCAGAACCTGATTTCAGAATTTACATTGGATCGCTTTACATTCAACACTTAACCATGGTTTTTATATTGATGATGATTGTGTACTATAATTCTAATTAATTTGTTGTTGTTTACCCATTATGCTAAGCTATAACGAGTGTCTTCCAAATTACAAAGATTCACAACTACACAAACCATATAATGCCACATATAATATATTTAAGCCTAGTCACTCTCCTCTACCAAATTGCTTTACATATTTGAGAAAACTATTTGCATAGGTTAAATATCCATAAGAACATGTGACTTAGTATATAAATAAAAAGACTTTTATGGGAATGAAATTAGCAAAAGACTCTACTTGTAAATCTAGCCTCAGAATTTACCATTGGAAAACCGTTCACCAGTCTATTACACTATTTATTTTTTTTAGTCATAATGTAGTTCATAGGTCCTCACCTTTCAGCAATAACCCACAGAGGTTAATATACCTTTTGAAAAGTCAAACTTGTAAGAAGTTTTGAACAGTATCCATAATAAAAGACAAATCATTGCTAATAGCACAGTGCTGAAACTGAAGGATTTCCCAACAGGCTGGAGCATGAACTTGTTGAACAAATGACGTGACAATTTGAGTTATATACAAGGGAAATTATTTTACACAAAAGATTATAGAATGGGATCATTCAATGACTTTGAATAACCTTAAGTTCAAGCTACAGAAAAAGAAAATATGGAAACAGCATATAATTATATTTTAGAATTCACAACCATAAAGAAAATTGAGGTTATTAATGTAGATTAATTCTGTAAAATGATGTAGCCTAGATTTATCAATGCTATGAACCATCCACTACATAAAAAAGATGCTGAAAACAACCTACTGGCTATATTACTTCATATATTACTTCATAAATATATATGCTTAACCAGTTTATATATATAAAATGATAAGGATTGGCAGACCCAGGGAGAGTAAAAAGAGGGATCTGCTTAGAATCACTACATAGCCAGAAACAAATTAAATCCAACCCCCTTTGACTGCTGTTGACCCTTATCTAACTCTAATGAAATGCTGACCATTAGTTGAGAAGATTGTTGTGCATGGACTTTTAGCAATAAATCAGTTAAATTGAACCTTCATGTGTGAACCTTGTCTTTCATGCCTGACAATGTAGTGTGCATAACATAGGTTGCATTCTGTACACCAACATATTTATATTCTATACACAAACACATTTTCTATTGTGTGTGAATCATGGCTTAATGTTTTGCTTGTCCTGTCATTCAAAGGAGCAACTTCTGAATATACAGGACCAAGCCAACTATATTCAAGTATCAGCTATATTCAAATGTTTATTCCTTTCAGACTTCTGCAAAGTCTGTCTGCCATACTCATTGCAAAACTAGACTTTTTTTCCTACACTTACTCATTTTCCTCCAAAGTATACAATTTGTAAGAGTTTCATAGAGCAAATCAGTTGATATTTGGGGTTTTGAAATAATGGTAGGATTTATTTTAGCAGTTGAGTATAAAAGTAGTAATTATAAAAATATAAGTATAAAAACTGCATGTATGCACAGAAAAAGACACTCTATTTGGATTCAGTATGAGTTGATGCTACTCAAGTAACTTTTGAACTTGATTATCCAAATGAATTAGCTGAAAAATGATTTAATTTTTTCAAGAGAACAGAATAAAACAAAACATGAGTATGAGAAAGGTTACTTCTTTACTCACCTTCTCTGCTGATTGTGCCGTTCCAAAAAAGATTGGAATAAAAGCTAACCAAATGATACAGGTGGTGTACATGGTAAATCCAATTGGTTTTGCTTCATTGAAGGTCTCTGGAACGCTTCTTGTTTTAATCGCATATACAGTACATGTTACCATTAAGAGAATACTGTATCCAAGAGAACAAATTAGTGATAGATCCGAGATGTCACATTTCAGAATCCCACGGGCATTTTCAGGATCCACAGTTCTCTGCTCTCCATAATCTACTATGATATGTGGAGGATCAATAGCAAACCAAATGAAGACTCCTATCAGCTGTATGGATATGAGGCTGAAGGTAATCACCAGTTGGGAACCTGGGCTGATGAACTTTGGAGCAGTGACTGATTTTTTCCCTTGCTCAAATATTCGATGGATCCGGTTTGTTTTGGTGAGCAAGGCTGCATAACTGAAGCACATCCCAAGTCCTAGGAAGATCCGTCGAAAAGAACAGATGGCAGTACCTGGACTTGCAATCATTAAAAAAGTGATAGCATAACAGAGAAAAATCCCGGTCAAGAGGACATAGCTTAGTTCACGCCCTGAGGCCCTGACAATTGGGGTGTCGTTGTGGCGGACAAATGTCACAATGACAAAGGAGGTTGCAATGATGCCAAGTATTGCTATGAAGACAGGCACAATCGCCCACGGGGAATGCCACTCCAGTTTGATGATGGGAATGAGTTGGCAGTCCGTGCGGTTGGCGTTTGGTTTCTTATCGAAGGGACACATTTCACAGGTGACCTCATCCACTTGGTATTGATATCCTTCACAGCGCTCACAATGCCAACAGCAAGCTACACCCTTAACCATCTTCTTCCTTTCCCCAGGTTTGCAGGGCACACTACAGACTGAAGTGGGGTGAGTTCGTTCTTTGATATCCCAAAGCATATCTTCTACCTATACATATATATTAAGAAGAAAAAAAATAATGAGCCTTTCATCTTCTCCTATTTATAATATTCCTAATCTTGGACACAAGTTTCTCATGAATCACCTTGTTTTAACAATACAAATAGAGTTTATTTTTGTAAGAAACCCCTTTTTCTCTGATACTGATTTTATGGAACAGTTAAATGATTGGGCACAATAAATCATTTGAGCCTTGAGCTTGATGAGTGTCATTAGTTTCTATTTACCTCTTTACTGCTGACCAAATTGATGCCTGTGAAAAGATTTATCGACTCTTAAGCTCTAGTCTGAAGCAAAGGCATCCTATAAAAAGGAATTTATGAGCTAATCACGTGCAAATATAGTTCTCAAACATTTAATTAGAAAATAATGGCATATGGGTTTGGAATTAATTTATATCCTAATATAAGGACAGAGTAAATATCCTGCACTGATCTAGGAAAGAACAAGAAGTTTTATTTCTCAGAAGTAAAATTATGAAGCAAGGAAATATTTCATTGTATTTCTACCTTTTGGATCTGTCTCAGGTTGTTTGCTTTTTTATCTTCTACAATCTACAGAGTTATTTGTTTACCATATTTCCTTTTTCCCCTCATCAAATTTCTCTGAGTGGCTTACAACAAAACAATGACACATAATAAAAGCTTAAACATCAATCCACTATGCACAAGTAAAGTAGCATTCCTGATCATTCATCTCATTGATTCACTAATTACCACCAATCCTATCATGCCTCTCTAAGCTCACTAGGAAAACATTGCCTTTACTGCTCTATACAGGAAGAAGGAAGCAAAGAAAGCTTATTTCTGCTGTAGATTCCTACTTTTTAAAGATTCTGGATGAATAGAGGAATCTTCTGAATTATCTCTCAGTCTGCATGAATCAAGCAATCTGAGTCTTCCTACTGCAGGTGACCATTGAAGGCCATGTTATAAAAGTATCTATCTATCTATCTATCTATCTNACCCTGAGCCGGTGAGATTTGAACCGCTGACCTGCTGATCTAGCAGTAGCCTGCAGTGCTGCTTTTTAACCACTGCGCCACCTTGGCTCTTAATGGAGTCAAACTCCATTAAGTTAATGTATTGGATCTAGTCACCCTTTTTACCACATACAAGACTACAAATTCTATTTAACTTTCAAATTTGTCTAAATTAGTAACTTAACAGACATAAAATGATCACTAAGCTTATTTGCCAATAATTTTAATGCTTCATTACAAACTAGTTGAAATGTCAGAGGTTCTGGAATGGAGCTCCTCTTAATTTTTATATTTTATCAAGCACTTGTTATTTATATCAATTATTTAATTAGGATGTACCATATTTTTCAGACTATAAGATGCTCCAGACTATGAGACGTACCTAGCTTTTGGGGCGGAGAACAAGAAAAAAATCTCCCAGCAATTTGCCTCCTTGTAACAAACAACAAACAGCCTGGTCAGCTTCAGAACAGCCTGATTTAGCACGAGCAGCTGATTGGCAGTTGGATTGGCCTTCGGGAATACTACCGACCAGCTGTTCCAGGCTGCAGGGATCGCTGCTGCCACCTATTGCTGCCTTCATGCACCCCATTTTTTGCCTCCACGCATCCCATTTTCGGCACGTACCAAGTGGTGGGCACTACCGCCGCTGCCACCGATCCACGCTGCCTGAAATGGGCTGAAAACAGGATGTGCAGAGGCCAAAAATGGGGCACATGGAGACTGAAAACAGGAGAAGCAAAGGCCGAAAAGGGGCATGCGGAGGCAGTGATAGGTGCCAGCGGCTAAGGGTGGGATGGCGCCAATGGGCGGTGGTGATCCCTGGAGCAGCCTGGAACAGCTGATCAGTGGTATTCCAACCATCAATCAGCTGCTCCCGCTAAATCAGGCTGTGATGAAGCTGAATAGGCTGTTAGCTGCAAGGAGGAAATTGCTCAGGGGCAGAGACAAGAGCGTGGGGGCCGGTGGGTGGGCAGGGCTTTGGCAACGTTTGCTTTATAAGATGCACAGATATTTTCACCCACTCGGGGGGGGGGTTGCACTTTATAGTCTGAAAAATATGGTAATCAATGGGGCAAGCAGTAGTAACCACAGTAACTATACCAACATTTATTAAAGAACAATAATACCAACAATATTCTGGACAGGGGGCAATTAACGCTTTCCTGTAGCATCATCTCCCTCCCCAATGAAAATGTTCCATCCAAATTATTAATACAGTTATCAATAGCTGAAATTGTGGCAAGTTCTTAAAGAGACAGGAGTACCAGACCATTTTATTTGTCTCTTGAGAAACCTATATGTGGGTCAAGAAGCAACAGCGGGAACTGGACATGGAACCACTGATTGGTTCAAATTTGGGAAAGGAGTCCAACAAGGCTGTATACTGTTGCCCTACCTATTTAATTTATATGCAGACCATAACATGAGTGCTACGTCGTCACGGCTACAGCTGCCAACCTCAGTCAAGCTGCTGCGAGCACCGATTGGTCCAGACGCAACTGCAGTCTGGCAGGAAGAATCCAGGCTTCCCATTGGTTAACTGTTTTGATAGCTTGACTATATAAGAGCTGTCAGGTTAAAAAGTCATTTGTTCGCTGTTAGTTGTTAATAAACAGTTGTTGCAGTTAAACTGTCTCCTTGTCTTCTCTCAGGGCTCAGGCTACAGCACTGGCGACGAAGGTGGGATTCTGAGGGAAACTATATCGATCTCTCAGAAATACCACCTCATCAAAGAACCCATGGCAAAAATGACAGCCATACCTCCTTTTGCAGCCTTTGCTCCTGAGAAAGAATCTTGGAAAACATTCATGCTAAGATTCAAATGTTTCTTCATAGCCCATGACTTTACTGAAATATCTACCGAGAGGAAGAGGGGATATTTTCTAAGTGTATGTGGCCTAGAGACATTCTCTATGGCCCGAGACTTAGCCGCTCCAGCATCTGTCCATGCTGCGCCATGGGACACTTTACTGGCTAAATTGCGCACTACGCTCCAACTCCCTCACCTTTTGCTAGAAGGTATTATTTCCACCAGTGCAAGCAGAAAGAGACTGAATCCATAAATCAGTTTATGGCTTTTCTTAGAAGCGCTGTGATTTATTGCGATTTCCCTGTCTTAGAAGAAGCCTTGCTTGAGCAACTAATTTGTGGCATTAGAGATTTGCGGTTTCGGTGCCGATTATTGGCAAGGTCAGATTTAAATCTGACCATCCCCTTAGATGAGGTGAGAGTGGCCGAACAGTCAGACCTCTCCGTGGCCAAAATTTGAAGATTTCAAGCCACACACAATGATTCCTCAGCTTCAGCCTCAATCAATCGACAAGTAGTTGACGATGAAGATGAAGAGTAGGCAGCTGACGAAGTTAGTCATCTAAAGTTAACCTCAAATAGCCACTGGATTCCTTCCACAAAATCAGATGGGTTCCCTGAGCTGCCAAATCAAGACAAGCTGACCAGTCGCTTAGCCAACCGGCCTAAGAGCCAAGGTGGCGCAGTGGTTAAATGCAGCACTGCAGGCTACTGCTAGATCAGCAGGTCAGCGGTTCAAATCTCACCGGCTCAGGGTT